ATGGCCATTTGAATTTGTTTGCAGCAACAAGGGGCAATAGGAGTACTTGTGTGGTTTGCTTTGATGGTAGATATAATAGAAAGTTTTTATGAGAAAGTTAAGATTACAAAGAATCCCTGAGTAAATACATGTGTACCTTTATTGTCCAAAATTAGTGAAAGATTAGGAAGCAATGTCTTGAATATTATTAGCCCAGCTTTGATCTGGCTATGAAGTATTCTCAGGACCTTACAGAAATAAATTACTGAAACAATTTTATTGATGATCATAAACTGATCACTGAAAGTTCCAAGAGAGAAAAAGAATGACTGAAAATTTAAGAAAGGAAGTTGGCTAAATATATTGCTGTCAATGTGTAAACTGTGGATGAGGTCTTCTAGCAGTTTGATAAACTTTATAAAAAAAAGAATACATAAGAAGACTGACAGAAAAAATTTCCCCTAAACTCAGACGTATTTTGAAGTCAAACATTACACATTATAAGATGCATTTATTCATGCCATTTTTTTACATGCGGACATTAATGACAAACAGATATTATTCAGAAGAACAAAGTTTTAATGTGAAGGTCAAGGTGGGAGAAAATCTAATAAAGAATTCTAAAAATCTCCAAATGATACAATAAAATTATGCAGAAACTTGATTAACAAAATATCACCTGGGGGAAAAATGTGAGAACTTACAAAGTGCATTGATAAAATGGAAATATAAATGTATTTTACTAAAGGAAGCAAACTGTTAAAATCATTAGTAATTTGAAAAAAAGAAAAAAATAAGATTAAATCTAGGAATGATTGGTTTAGAATAACTATGCCACTGAGAAATTTCATATAGTTATATCTATCAATTAAAAGTTCCTACAAAATTTTGACAAACTAACTTTATTCAATTTTGTGTTTCACCAGAATAAATTTATCCAAGGAAGTTAATTTTAACTTTGCTCTAAGTTAATGGTTTTGGCCGATTAATATATTTTCTCAACAATAGCACAAATGATTAAACATCTTAGATAAAGGCCTGCATGATTGATGACATTAGCATGTCATCATCACACAGACAACATCAATTATGAGAAGCATAATTCTAGCACTTCCAGTTATCTGTCATCACCTGGAATAATTAAAAATCAAAAAACTAGCAAATGATCGGGGAAAGGATTTAAATATTTTTCTTTCTCATGCTGTGTCACAACAGGCATTATGGTACTACTGACTCCCATTTTATTTGATAAAAGTCCACAAAAAAGATTTTGCTGTCATGAAGGGAAATTCCCGGCCAACAAAGACACCTTTTATAGTGCCACTGTAGGCAGAATTTTTTCCTGCTGCTTTTGCATTCTGTATAAAAGCAAGCATAGAATGGTTTGGGTTGGAAAGGACCTTTAAAGAACATCAAGCTCATCTCCTGCTGTGGGCAGGGACATCTTTTACTAGACCAGGTTTTTTAAAGCTCATCCAAGCTGGCCCTAAATGTATAGACTTCCGAAAGTTAAAATTCTTACCTAGGAGTTATATAATGAAATTAATTTTAAAACAGAATTCCTCCTCCAAAATGGAAAAAATCAAAAGTATAGGATGGTACTTTATCAGAGTGGGCCTAGTTTTTTTGCAATTCAGATCTTTTGCTGACAATTATGGACTATTTTCACACATACACTTTGAAATTCATTACCAGGCCGGTGTTTTTTAAGTTTGAGGAGTATTATTAGCACTTTATGAAATGAAGTCTTACAAATCTATGTTAACTCTACCACAATCTCTATCTTTTCATGAGGAATGTACACATTTCAGTGGGAAGAGGTCTGAAAAATGTGCTGTTAGAGAATTAGGTCATGGTGCAAGACAAACAGTTCTGTCTTTATAGCTACTCCAATGTGCACATGAACTCTCCCAGATTGTGAGAGTGTGTCCTCTGGAAAGAAGGCTTGTCCATGCAGATCCGCTGCAGGTTAAACTTTGGGTTCACACAGCACCAACTACATGTCATTCAACAAGAATAAACATAGAGCCATATTTTAAGGAGTGAAAAAAAAATGTTAAATGGTAAATTAGGCCTATAAATGCTTCAAGGTTTGTGTTGTGACTTTGTACCAAGGGCACGTGACAGCAGCCCAGAAGACATGTCTCTTACAGAATGGTATTATTGCCTGTTCAGTCGATGAGCAGAATATGCAGGAAGATGAAGAGCTTATAAAGGCTTCAGGGTTTTTCCAGCCAACACTGTTTTTTGGCACGGGAAATTTGCCAGAATATGGCAGATGTCAGTTGCCAGAAGACATGTGTCTGTTGTCCTTAAAAAGTGCACGTTGGACACCATGTACGGGAGTCTGAGGCATTCAGTGAAGCCTCGGAATGAGGGTGGAGAAAACCTCCGTTGGACAAACTGGAAGCATGGCAGCTCCTTCATTGAGAGGACTGTACTTACAGAGAGGTCCTGGCCAAGAAAAGAACATGCTGTGGAAGCTGAGTTGCAGGCCTGCTTGACAAGTGTCCAGGATGGGTTCTGAGTATGTGGAATTTGACTCACCTGGTTAATGTCGTGCTCCATCCAGAAAAAACTCTCAGCAGAACTTGTTTGCTGTAGGCACAAGATCTCATTGATGAAGCTAAATTGCTTTCAGCTCTGACGTAAAACTGCTTACAGCTGCTTCAAAGGTGAAGGGAAGCATTATCCAAGGAGCTGTTTGAGAGAAGCAGATTGATGTAGAGACAGAGTTTGTATAATGAATCTCAAATAACTAAGACTTCTTAAGCTCTCAAGGTGTGCGTCAAGTATAGGAAGCACATATATAGGCCCTTTATTGTTTTAAAATCCCATTATTTCTTTGTCTTTTACATTTTTTCGTGAGCAGGAAGCTTACATGTAGTTTATGTCTTGGAAATTCTCCTTTGTGTCACTGGGCAGTGATTCCAGTCGGAACTATCACAGGAATGGAGTAGCCAGAATAAATGAGAATCTTGGAGAACCTCTGTGCTACCTAGCATCATTGGAAGAGAGTAATTCACTTCAGAAACTTGGAAGAATATATAGTGATTTCTGGAACCCTTGAACTGATTCAAAGAAAATAGCTCTAAGACAGGTCATCTTGAAAAATCACGACACTAAGGTACTTTAGGTACAGTGTGTTTCTATTCAAAGTGAAAAGGAACAAGTTTACAATGAATAATGGACTTCTTGCTCATTAAAATTTTCAGTGTCGAGTAATTGGATTTTGTTTCTTTTCAGTTTGTTTGCTTTTATGCAGTAAGGAGTGTGGAAGTGTATTCAATATGTCAGATTTTTTCCATTCAGCAATATAGACTGAAAGTAGGTATAAAATGTGTTTCTTCTCTCATAATATGATGAAAATTGATTTAATCTGGTTTTTGTGAACTACTTCTCAAAAAAATGTCAATGATCTCTTTCAAAGAGAATTTTCTCAGCTGTTCTGTAGTGTAGAAAGAGAAATAAAAGGAATATTATAAAAATAAATGGGGTTAGGTGTTCTTTTACTATTGTGTTTAGTATGTCAGGCCAGGAATATAGGAATACAACACCCAAATTATTTAAGAGACCTCCAAAGTCTCCATGATCAATCTGCAAATAAATATCACATATTATTCAAAATTTTATGCTATTGAAATTCCCAGAAGGTACTTTTGTTTTGATTCTTTACTGCATTTTCTATACAAATCTCATAGTCTCTGATAGCATTCTGCTAAGCTTAGAAGAGTCTGTTCCTTAGGAAATACTTTGGAAAATGGAAAAACAGAGTTTAAAATACAATTTAAGTTCCATAAATATTTATTAACCTAGTTTTTAGAGCATTTAGAGTTGTTGGAGCAGTTGTTTGTTATCATCTTGGATATGTACTTAGAAATTGGAAAACTTTAGGGTGGGGCATGTGACCACACATCCAATTCCAGCACTGTGGAACTGCACTCAGTGCAGCTTTGCTTTCGCGTCTGTAATAAGAAAAAGAAAAAGGGAAAGAAAAGGAGCATTTAATTCTCTCTATATGCTGTATGGGGATGTTAATAGAATTTTCAGTTCCAAAAGCTTTTATGTTTTTGAAGAAAAATAATGAGCAGCAACAATGGGAAACAGGCAAAATTTCCTGTGCCTGTTAAAATCTTTGAAGAACATGTGAATTCTTTGGGAATTAGTGCTTTTGAATTAATTTTCATGCTATTTAGTGAAAATTTATTCTCAATGGCATCTTTCTAAAGGTGGAGATCAGTATTGGGTACTAAAGACATTTAATTTTTCTCTGGCAATGATGAAACCCTTTGATCCCAGCCACTGGGAAGTTAATATACAAATAAAATTAGAGATGGTTTCAATTTTATTTTCAGTGATAAGGATTGAAAGCTAATTCTTCAACAAAATAATGAAGTTGAAAATAATGATAAAATCTTGTTTAATGATAGGTACATGCTATATCCATTTGCTTAAACCCTAAGACCAAAGGAAAGAAAATTGTTTCTTTGCTCAGTGTTCCAGGTCTTTTGTAGCTTAACTTCAGAGAGCTTCTTAAATTTTTTTCCCAAACAAGCAGAGGATAAAACAAGCCTGTCCTACCATAGACATCTAAAAGTTAGATGCCTTGGATAAGGCTTTGTAGTCAGTGAAGAAAAACACCCTGTAATTCATCTCAGCCTGGTTAAAGAACTTCAGTTGAGCAGGGAGGGAGTATTCCATCTATCTGTAGATTGTGAAACAAAGGTTATGGTGACCAATTTAGATATGGAAGTGTAAAATCAGAAGTAAATCCCACAACAGTGCTTACCCAAGCCATTTCTGAAGCTTTCTTCTCTTTCCCCTACAGTGCAGAACTTAGTACATTCAGAATTCAAGTTTTTCTGTATAAAAAAACTTAACAATTTTGGTAATGTTTCTCCTTTTTGTTATCAATAATTATAATTTTGAAAATAATTAATATAATTTTGTAGAAGCATAAATCCTTCAAACGTATTTGAGAAGATTCTTTTATTACGTTCCTTTGCCCTGTTTTTCCACAGATTTCTTCCTGTTGAGTAATACCTTATTCATCTTCCAGTTCTTGTAAGTATATGCAGTATTTCTGTTACTATAATTAGTCATATATTGGTGTAAAAAAACCTTCCTCCTATTAGAGTGCTGCTTTAATATAGTACTTATCTCAGTCTGTAAACTTCTTCTGCTAATCCTGAATGATCAACCTTTGACAAGGAAATACTGATTTTTTTTTTCTTCCCCTTTCACTTTTCTATGGATCCTGCCTTGCTGCACATTGTACTAAATTCTTCATGCTTTGAAATTTTCAGGAAATATTGCTTAACTGAAATGTTCTTCTTGGTCTGGTAATATTACCACACTGTCTTTGATAATCCAAGGGGTTTTAACTCCATGTTAAGATGGGGAGTGGTACTGTAATTTACAAGGCCATTGACAAGGTGTGGTGGGTTGGTTTGGTTCACCAGCTAAGCACCATGCTGCTACTCAGCTGTTGACTCCAGTGGGACAGGGGAGACAATAGGAAGAGCAAAGGTGAGAAAACCTGAGGGTTAAAATATTTAATAAGCAAGAAAAAGAGGAATAATAAAATGGAATAAAAAATTAATACAAAAGTAAACACTGACCACCTCCCACAAATAGGTCAATGCCCAGCCAGGCTCTGAGCAATGTCTCTCATCCCAAAATACCTGTCCCACCTGCCCTGCTTTAGTTTTTATTGCTAAACCTGTTTTTATATGGCAGAAAATATCCTGTTGAATCAGTTTGTGTCAGTTACCTTTGTTGTGTCCCCTCCTAACTTCTTGTACACCTTCAGCCTACTCCCTGAGAGGCAGAGTGGGAATATCTTGATGCCATGGAAGACTTCTCAGCAATAACCAAAACACAGGTGTGTTATCCACATTTTTAGTCACATTTTCAAAACATCACATGGTCCAAACTAGCACCATGACAGACTGCCATGAAAATGCAGCAAAATCCATCCATCCATCCCATCTCAATCTGTAGCCCTTAGTCCATACAATGTATGCCACGCTCAAGTCTTACACTATCCAATACAACCTTACTAAGTGCCACTCTCTCTCCTGTCATGTGATACATATATATACAGATGTGATTATCATAGTCTATGGATCATCCCTGTAAAATATTTGTGAAATGTCCATTGAGTTGTGTGGTGCATGACTTGGCCTCATGTGTTGCTCAGGACAGGAGAGATTGTGTTACATTTTTGGCTCATGTTGGGTCATCGCAGTGCTTGCCTGTCTTCTTGCAGGGCTCATTCTCCATTGCTTCAGGTGATTCTCGACATAGTACTTCCTATAATACGGAAATAAAATCACATTTTATTTTCCCCTAGGGTTTGATGTCCTTGGGACATACAACAGATATCTCCATTCTTCCACATTACCCATGAGTTGTGCCCAGGTCTTAGAGCAAATTGCCCTGTAGCCCTGGCTCCAACACCCTTGCACCTTTGACACTGCTGACCTTGGGTGTCTGCAGGTGCCTTCTGCCAGAGATTCCAGTGGAGTCATGCTTCCTGGCAGTAGCATAGAGAGCATTTCTCTCATCTGGTCCTGCTGGAGTGGCCCACAGGGACTGCATGAACTATATGCTGCTTGATCAGTGCAACAGCTTGTTGCTCAGAGCTTCAGTCAAAACAGTTCTCTTGGATCACTCAGGAGAAAGAGCTCACAAGTGTATGGGAGTCCTGGAATATGCATTCTACTCATAATGCCTAGGAAAGTTTTTTTTTTTTTTTTTGTCTGCTAACCAGTGGGGATGTGATTTCTGTCTCCTTATATCTGTTGGGGTGTGGTGATGCCCCTCTTCCCATCTCATTCCCCATAACTGGATCTCCCATCTCCCTTTGTTTTATTGAAAAATCAGACTTTGGAACAACATGAATTTTTCTTTCCTCTTTTTCTTCTGGTTTGCTGTCCCACACAACTATGTTTTGGAGCGCACAAGGCCTTCTTCAAGTATTAAAGAGAAATAGCAGTCCTCAACCAAGCTGTAAATACAGCTATCTACACAAAATTTCGGCATAAAAGGACCATTCCTACAGGCTTTTCTAAGGTCTGAAAAAATGAACCAGAAAATTCAACTATTGGGAAAACTCGCAAGGGATTTCCACAGTTAACTCAAGACATAATAAAAATAAATTAGCTTTCCAAGAAGGCTAGGGAATAAGGAATCAATACTGACCCAGACCAGCTAACTGGGTAGCATAACTAGAAATATTCTTTATCCCTAGAAAGTCTGCCTCTCTTAAATGTTTTTACAGTGATGCAAATATGTCCTTATTTTTCAAATTGAATTTATAATTTTTTTTCATAATCATTGAGTAACGTCTCAAATCACATTAAGACCATATTATCTTCACATGCAGAGCTGTATGTTTAAAGTTATTTAAGCAGGATTGCATATCCTCTCGTTCCTTCTTCCTGTCTGTAAGGAAAATTTTGTCCTAAATTCCATTGTTTCAGAAAGCCTTCAGCTCTCCACCATTAAATTTAGTGCACTGCAAATTTACTCTCTCGCTGAGCATCTATCTGTCAATCTATCCTCAAGTTACCTGTAGGAGCTTGACTGTCCAGAAGCATCTCAGCATAAGTTTGGAAGGAAACCTCCTCAGTGTAGGAGGTAATTCCTTGTTCTGCCCTGACCATCTCTGATAGCTGACCAGGAACCTGCAGACAGTTTTGAGAATTTCAATTTTAATTATGGAGGACAATTTCTACACTTCAGCAATATTTTATTTGAATTAGTATTGAAAGTCTATTTTCTCCTTTTTTTCTGGACTTCTATCTCCATGCAGCATTTTGCTGTCTCAGTGATTTCTAAGAATGCTGAAAAAGCAAATTTTATGGTCTAGTATCAGCTAGAAGGTCTCATCTTTGTCCTACTGATTACTAGTTTATGATTCAAAAACATCAACAAAAATATCAGCTAGAAAACTAAGGAAAATAGACCTCTTAAGGATGCCATTTGTAATATCTTCAAAACAATTTCAACTGCTCTTCAAGAACTTTTTAGAAATAACTTGTGCACACAGGCATAATTTCCCCTAGAGCATTTCTTCTCTGCTTATCTCTGACTTGCTCTTAGTTTATCTAAAAAGTTTATTGAAGTAAAATAAAATGCATATAATTTACATTATTGATCACTAAGTGAATTGTTCCAAGAAAAAACAAAACTAAATTGAGTTCATGTGACATATTTCATTTTCATTTATGTCTGATCAGTTTTCTAGAAACTTGTAATACTCCAAAGTTTTTCAAATACTTGGAATAACAAAATATATTCAAATATATTCTAAAATAGTTCTCAGATTACTGTATGAATTATCACCCATGAATTATGGGTGAATTTCTTCTGGAATTATGACTTGAATACATATATTAAATCTAAATATTCACTGCTCCCACCATTACTGTCCCCATAGTTCCATTTTTCATATTAAAATTAATTTGACTGATACTTTAATAGAAATTTTTTGTGACTTCTCCAACTGAAATATATTTCATGTCACAATCCTCTGAATTTATCAGTCTAAATGGTTGTTACTCCTTTATAGCACAGATTTTTCCAGATCTCACCCAATTCTTTTTTGGTTTTTGGATATTTGAAGATTTCCTAATTCTGTTTCTGAATTCTTTAAACAAGTTTGTCTTTATATATTTAGAGCAGCCCCTTTCAAAAGTTACCAGTTCACCTGAACATCTTTAGCCCCTTAGATCATCTTCCAATGAAGCCTCAGTCTCATCTCCCTAGGTTGTGTCAAAGCTGTTTACCCAATTCCCCAGTAGCAAGGCTGTTATGTAATTTTTCTTTCTCCAGTTTATTTCCCACCTTTGGGTTTTCGGTCAATTGCTTGCTGACAGTTAGATACGAGATATTGCTTTCCCATAGCCAAAGTCCTGCCTTCATGAAACCAGAAGTGTGTACTCAACACCGACAATCTGATCACTTCCTTTGCCTGTACCTTGACACATGGAATTATAATCAAAAGGTTGTATGGATAGCAAAAATCTACCTTTATTACCTGTCCTTTGGATAGTTCTGATGGCAGCTCAACTCTTCATCTATCTCCTCTTCCAATTTTCTGCTTCATGTAAGATTCTGAGCACAAAACAAAGTGTTCTTCCCCCTTTTAATCTTCACCCATAGATAGTGTACAAGCTTCTTTCCTATCTTTTCCTGCTCTTTATGTGATGCTATTTTGTTGTATTACAAAGACAGTACCAAGTGTTCTTTTTATTGACAAAGGGGAGAATTCAGGCAAAAGGATTTATTTATTTTTGACTTTTGTCTCAAAAAATCTCCTACTTTTAGACTTTCTCAAAACTTTATATGATGTACATAAAAAAGAACTTACCCTTTTTCTGTGTGAGAAGAGAAAATGAGCTATTCTCTGCCTGGCCAGACAGAAAAAAAGGCCATGTTTTTATCATATACTTTAGATTATAGACTGATAATAGTAACAGAAAGGCTGAGGCTGGAAGGGACTTCTGCAAGTCATCTAGTCCAACCTTTTACTCAAAGCAGAGCAAAGTTCAGGTCAGGATCTTGTCCTAGGAAGTTTTTAATATCTCCATAGATAGAGAAGGCAATGAAAAATTTTTAATTCTGTTTAATAAAATTATCTTTCTTATGATTTCACATAAATGCCCCAACTGGTTTTGAACATATGTTCTATGTATGTTATATGTTTTGACTTCCTATGGAAGTCAGCAGTGACTGGGAAAGCACCAGAAGGTTTTATTTTTCTGACTGTCTAGAACCTGTATTAATTACATAAACTTGTTATGAGGAAGGGCAGGGAGAGAAAGTCCTGAGAGGACTGACATCTAGCCTTGGTTTAAGGCGGACACTTATCTTATCAACCTACTGTTAATAAACTCACTAAAACAGTAAAGATCCAGATTTAATTTTAACTTGCTTTACTGGCCTGCTTTAGCAATGGCTAAAGGTGATAGCTTGGAAAAATATTAATCAGAGTCAGCTATTTAAAGTCAGACATGTTTTTTGGCAGTTTCTTCAGGAAAGTTCATCTAACAGCTATCAACCATGAAGATTCTTAGCTACCTCCTGGTTTACCGAAGGTTCCTGCTCATTGTCCTCACCCCACTGCTTTTACTTCCATTTCCACTTATCATCAAAACCAAAGTAAGTGACCTGCTTGGAGAGATAATTATTATGCACCTGTATGTAAAGATTGAGATTACTAGACCTTTTCAGATTCACAGAATCACAGATAGTTTGAGTTGGAAAGGACCTTGAATGAATAATGATATTTGCATTGTGATTATTTTTTTGTCAACTCAGTGTATTTTCACAGAAATGTAGAGAAGACCGCTTCAATGTAAAATTCTGTACTAAATGCAAGAAGCTCTGAATCACATATTTGTTTTCTAACTACATCTGGATTATATTGAAAATATTATCCTGATTATTACTTTTTGGACTCTTTTAAAGAGCTCTTTATGATGGACAATGGAGAAGAATTGTCAGGAAAAGAGCTGTAATTACTTTTTGTTTAATAAAGGATTTTAAGTTCATCACATTTTATGTTATCTGATAGGAAATTACTGAATTCAGTGATCTGACAAATTCCCTCTGTTACCTAATTAGAGCAAAATCTATAGTTTTATTTTACTTGAAATAAATTCTGGCATTCACTAACTCTTAGGACAACTCCACATTGATGAAACAGCTATCTAACAATGTTATTAGTGACTCTATTTGGTACTGCTCTGATGCCAGCAGAATGATATAGAATAAAATGGAATTCTGTGATGTGTTATCATACATACTATGTATGACAATACATGAAAATTTGGTTCAGAATTCTTTGCATCACAGTTAGATGGTGGTTACAAGGCAATGGACTTCACACTCTCACATCACAGTTCCAATAGTTCAGTTTCCTTTCTGAGAGGAAACTCATGGGAAATTCTGAATATGATAAGACTTAAGTGAGATGAACATTTGCTAGGTGAATGGATATTTTCAAATTGTTTCATATATAACAAAACTTCTTCCCCAAAAGAAATTATAGCCACAGCTAACTGACTTAGGTTTAATATTGTTATTTTCCAGTCAAAGGTTCATCATTAAGCTGTTCCTTTCCTTTCCCAGTACAAATAATCTCTGCTGCTGTTGAGTAATTTTATACCCTAACCAGGGGCACTAAGAGCTCCAAACCATTTTCCTTGAAAGCAGAAATATAAATAAAAAGCTACACAAAAGAGATTTCTAATACTCTGGAAGAAACTAGATTTAATTCACCTCATTATAATTGTCTGGGGCTGCATTTTACAGACAGTATTGAAAATTATTCTCCTGGGAGGAAAAAAGAAGATAAACAAAGGGGAAAAAACCCTCCTGGTTTTAAGGAGTTGAAATAAGACAATCACTAAAATCACAAGCCTGAAAAGCAGCAGCTGTGTTTTGTGTCAGTATTGTATGATAACTTTTTTGTTAGATTATATTTTTGCCTTATTGCTACTGATGACAAGACTTAAGGAGAGAAAACATTTGACCAGTTATTGACTGTGAGTACCCCAGAGTCTTAAAGGTTTGCTTACAGAGGCAAAATGCTTTTGATTTATAGGAATTCATGGCATGAGAATGCTCCAGAATGACCTAGAAGATGATTAATTGTCCTTGAAGGAATAGGCAGCTGACTTTTTTCCCCACTGTTCCTGAGTGATAGAATTTAAATATTTTTACTATCGCTTAGAAAAAAATTCTCTACACCTATTTTACTGACTGTGTTTCATAACTCAGCAGGATTCTCAACAGCACACAATAACTACCCTAAATGCAGGTCCTTTGACTCATTTTTTCAGGTGTGGGGAATCTACTAATGGAGGTGAACTTTTTGAATTGTGATTTTTTATCCTGGATGACCGACACATGTTTTTATTGGTGCCTTTTGTATTCTAGGAAGCAGAATGTGCATACACACTGTTTGTAGTTGCCATCTTTTGGCTCACAGAAGCTTTACCACTGGCTGTTTCAGCTTTGCTCCCTGCCTTTATGTTCCCATTGTTTGGTATAATGGGATCCAAGCAGGTAAGCCTTATTTTTCTCTGTTTTATACTGTGCATATCAGGAATCAAAACTCCAAAGAATGAAGCACTTAATGTTGAAACCTGTCAGGCAAATGCATGGATTTGCTGAGTGCTGATCACAATATTTCTGCCTCAAGACTTGCTCACGTGCTTTGTCTTCAGGACTTGTGCACATTTTCTTAATAATTTCTTTAATAAATTCTTCTAGATGGTGGCTCAGTGTTTAGATTCTAGTAGATGGGAAAAGGCTAGGTAGTTATGAAATACCCTTAATATAACAGAGGCAAAATGTCACAATAATGACACCATATGCAAACTGCTGACTATACACCTTCATGCCAAAGAGATGAAATCACAGATAATCATAATCTAAGTCTATGCTTAAAGTTGTCATTTTACCTGTTGGATAGATAAAAAGGTAAAAAAACCCAACATTAAACTGCTGATTTAGTAAGTATGTGAGATGCAACTGATGATTATAGGTTGTTTTATCCTAAGCTTTATTTTTATTTTGTTTTAACCATATGCACTTTAGTGCATTTATTCTTGACTCATTTGGTTAAATGAATTTAACAGTACCAATTACCTTAATAGTTTAAGTTTAAGAAAAAAAGAGTCTATTTATTTCATAATATAATCTTACTCTATTTCATTAAAATGAATGCTAAAAGAAATTCACCATTTAGTTTTAAAAATGGGTTAATTTTCCTTTTTGATTTTTTTTTTTTTTTTTTATTTTGTTTCAGGTAGCATCTGCTTATTTTAAAGACTTTCATCTGCTGCTGATTGGAGTAATTTGTTTGGCAACATCAATAGAAAAATGGAATCTTCACAAAAGAGTGGCTTTAAAAATGGTGATGCTGGTGGGTGTCAACCCTGCATGGTATGTGCTAAACAATGTCTTGAAGGACAATAATACTTGTGGAAAGCTATGTATTCCAGAAATAATTGCCTAGTTCTTTTTCTACAGTAGAAATCCAGCCTTTCTTTTCTACTCAAACAAAGGAGATATTTAAAATGCTATGAATAGTTTGTAGGTGACACTTTACTATTTTGCTAAAATTCTAACTGAAAGTTCCCTGAAGTGCTTCTATTCATAATAAGGATCCTTCTGAACAAAAATTATGATTAGTTTGTAAATAATATAGGGGTTCCATTTCTTGATGGTCTTTGGAACATTCCCACCCAATGCCTACAACACAAAATTTGTTCTCTGCTGATTTTTTTTATTTCAATAGTGTTTTCAAAATTCTGGACATTCCCAAAAATACAAAAAGTGTTCAAATACACAGTAAGGGGGAAAAAGCAAATCATGCAACTAAGCAGGTGGTGGGGAAGGAAAAACACATTAACATAATTTAAGGTGTTACATTAACATTTACTTAAGCTGTTTTCCTTTGTCTACTTATGAAAAAAAAATCAAAGGATAGGCACTTCCTCAGCTGGATGAAGTGATAAGGTAAATGAAATCACACTCTTCTTACACACTATAAACATACACTTTTGGAAGTGAAAAATCTTGCTTTCCTTGCTTTACAAACTTCCAGAAGAGGTTTAGGCTGACAGAGGCATCTGTTAGCGTACAAGTAAGGCTTCTCATAAGATCTGTAGAGCATGTTTAGCTTCCCAGAATACATCAAGCTCATGATACCTTGCCAGGAAGCAGAAAGGAAGCAAATGGTCAGAAAACCAGAAACCCCAGGTCTAAGAAATAAGACGCCTCTTAAGTGATTTAACTAATGACATTCTCATAAGAATGCTTGATTATTTCTATTCATCAGTAATTTGACTGACCTAATTTTAAATATCAAATGTATTTTGATTAGTTCTGCCTCTTTTGATAGCTGGTAGCTTTCTGTTAGGAAAAAAATTCTCCTTGCATTGTTCTACTGCCTCCCGTTACCTTAAGCTGTATTCTTGTGCTATGGTGGTTTAGTTATTTCGGCTTCTTTTTTGAACACTGAAATGTTGAAAGGGAGAACACAAGTGGATGGTGTGCTGTGCTAAGCTGAACGTTGCTGGGGAACTTGCTGTGAACAGTCAAACCTGAAGCCAGCATCTGAGAATACCTAAGGCAACTCCAGATCTATCACATTTCCTGGTCATGACAAAGGGATGATAAGATTGTGATGAAATGATCTGTGAAGGATGAAATGATGAGTGGAAGTAGATTGGTGATCTACCCACCTCTCAGCATCTGCTGCTCGCTAGCTGTGCCCGCAGTCAGCACAGTGCTGCTCTCTGCACACTCCCTCCTCAGCTGCCTACAGCCTGCGCACACTGCAGCCCCACCCAGCCCAGGGCAGAGATATCACAGTATGACTGCAGGTCATAAAGGGTGCAGCAGTGAAAGTAAAATAGCAAGAGACTTCTGATTTTCCATTATATATTTTTCTGGAGAAACTGATGTGTATCAGAAATGTGCAGCCGGCAGGATCAGGGCAGCGATGGTCTCCCAGTACTCGACACCAGTGAGGCTGCATCTCAAATCCTGGGTTCAGTTCTGAGCCCTTCACTACAAGAAATACATTGAGGTGATGATGCAAGTCCAGAGCAAGTCCAGTGAAGCTGGTGAAGGGTCTGAAGCATGAGGGCCTTATGAGGAGCAGCTGAGGAAACTGGGGTTGTTCAGTCTGGAGAAAAAGCAAGGATCAGGGGTGACCTTATCACTGTCTACAGCTCCCTGAAAGGAGGCTGTAGCCAAGGAAAGGTCAGCCTCTTCTCCCAGGTGAAAAGTGAAAGACAAGAGGAAATGGCTTTAAGTTGGGCCAGAGGAGGATTAGATTGGACAATAGGAAAAAATTCTTCAGTGAATGGTTGGTCAGGCATTGGAACTGGATGCCAAGGGAAGGATTGAGTCATCAGCCCTGGAGGTATTTGAAGATGTGTAGATGTTGCACTTAAGAACATAGTTTAGTGGTGGTCTTGGCAGTTATGTTTATGGTTGGACTGGATGATCATAAAGGGTTTTCACAGCCCAGATTATTCTGTGATTCTGTGTAAAGGCTTTCTGTCATTTGAGCTATGCAGTAACATCTACAGACTAGCAGAGAAAGGTGAATATGTCTATGCAACCTGCAAGGACTAGAAAGGGTAATAAAATACTGATTGTGCACTACAAAACAAAGAGTGACTTTGTAGTTGGATATAATTAAATAATTATCCAAAATTCCATACATAATATCTTTTTAACAGTACCACAGGGAAAATAATGCTGAAAAATGGGGGCCAAACAGAACAGGATATCTTTTATAATTTTGCAATCTACTTTTAGAGTCCCTCAGTAGAGTCCACCGCATTGTACCAAATGGTAACCTGATGATCAATCCATCTAATGCTGGAAATTTATGATGAATAGTTTTAAAATACATTAGTGAATGTCTTAATTTGTTTTATTTTTAAATCCTCTTGCAAGTCCTACTAAAAGGGCATTTTTCTACAGTGTGAAAATTCATATTCAGTGTGCTTATTCTGACCCGTATTTTCTGCATAAGAAACACGATTCTTCCCTTGCTTATGTCTGAGGACCTAATCAAAACCTTCCTAAATTAATGAGTTTTAAACTACTGATGACAATTTGTCTTGAATCAGGTCTGTGACATGCTGGTCTACAGATCATTTCATCACTGTAATTAAAAGTGCACAGGGGAAGACAAGGTTCCCCTACTGGGGAAAAATCCAGTTTGAAATGTTTTCACCATCAGCTGAAATGAAAGGCTATAAGAGACATTTTGATGGTATTTTTATATAATCAAATTATGTTTACATGATTTTTATATATTATCTATAATGGCTTCATGTACTAAGTAAAACTGACTTTTTTGTGAAGCTTCTGACCGAGGCAAAGAATTTTACAAATTTCACAGATGTCTTCTGATGGAAAGGTGCAACACCACTATTCCTCCACTAAGTTCTCTTGCTGTGATGATGTATGGCAGGTGTTTAATGTCAGTAACAGAACCTTGGAGCAGGGAGTTAAGAGGACTGTTCACATTTCCAACTCCAAGAAATGCATTAAAAACAACATTGTGACCTGTATTCTAAATTTACAATCCAACTTCACCAGATTCGACATGTAATGTTTGAATTTTCAGACATTGATGCAATTCAGTGTATTATTATTTGTAATAAACGAGAAAAAGTTGAGCCAAGACCAGATTAAGGAATTATAATGACTTTCCCTTTCCCACTTAATACTGAAGATGACATTTATTGAAGCCCAAATAATGCCTATACTTGTCTTGGTGCTCTGAATAAGAACTAAGTTTTGTATCTCTTTCTGAATTTTTAATATTTCTTCCTATAACAACTGAACCAGTATAGCTAGAGAACTTAACAGTCTAAGTGGTAACTACAGGGTTTTGACCTAGACTGTACAATATGAGATTAATAACATCAGCAGTGTAGCCATTTTAACTCACATTTGAATTTGTTACATGCATGGTGCTCTTTCTTCAAAGATGGTTCAAATAGAGTATAATTCTGTAAATAAGTATTATTGTTTCTGCTTCACTTTAAAGCATATTTGAAACTCCAAAATATGATCATTTCAGTGTTTCAGATCAAGACAATTTTAATTAAAAAATGTTCTCAGAATTACAAGCTTTAAATTTTCAGTGTTTCAACTTTCCTGTTGACAAAGTTCTCATTTATATTAAATAGATAGGAGGTGTTACTGTAGCAGTCACAGACTCTTCTCTCCTATTCCAGGCTTATGTTGGGTTTCATGGTTAGCTGTGCTTTCTTGTCAATGTGGCTCAGCAACACCTCTGCTGCTGCCATGGTGATGCCAATCGTTGAAGCTGTAGCCCAGCAGATCATCAGAGCTGAAGCAGAAGCTGATGAGCTGGAGATGTCCTGCTCCAATGGCTCCATCAACCCAGCCCTGGAGCTGGACGGTAGGCACACGCTGCTGCTCTGCCTTTGCACCCTCACTAGGCACTAAGGAACACTGCAAGTACACTTAAATGCCAGGGAAGTACTGGCATCACCTCCTGCTTCCCTGTGAGACTTCTCTTGGAATACTGTGTGTGAGCTTTCTCATGATCACAAAGATTAATTAAAACTGAACAGGTGCAGAAGGTGGCAGCTGGATGAGAGGAGGGGAGATAGGAAGGGGGTGGTTTATCAGCCACTCTTATCAGCCTTGTAAGGCGGCTGGAATGAAATACGACTCCAGGCTATAGATATCCTAAAGCTCAAATGTTAGCACAGGAAAAGAGCTCTTTAAACTATAGGGAAGATGTTGGAAGAACAACAGAATCTAAGCTGATTATCTTCACAGTTAGATTGTAAATTAGGAATATTTCTCCTCATGAGAAGATTCAGATTCTGAAGAGTCATGAAGGAGTAGGGCATAAATAAAATGTATCTTCGACTGGTGCTTGCAAATGTATTGATGGGATAATGTGAAGTGAGTGCATGGGATGAGACATCTTGATGGAGCCTTTCCAGTTCTACTCCCTTAAATGCTTTTCTATCTTTGTATCACTGTCTTACAGAAAATGTAGGAGAATGTGAAAACCCAGACTGGAAAGAGAAAGAAAAACAAGTTAATGGGTAATTGTTATTAATTTAGTTAATTCTGTTCTAAGAAGCCATCTAAATAGACTATCTGTTTGTTACAATACATGCCTTTGTTTTTCCAGATATAACAACAATGTGTGTAGTACTGTATGCACAATTGAAAAGGAAAATGAAAAAGGAAATGAACAGGTACCTAAAGTGTCTTTTTATTATGCAGTGAAACTTATTTTAACCTAAATCTCCCTTCTATGACACATCTCAAATGGCACAAGTGGCAAAGAAGCTGGTTACATGTGAATAAGAAATATACCTGTAGTCAGACACATGTACATACTTTGCTTATATAGCTATTTCATTACTGGTTTTGTCCTCCATTTTACACAAGTTAAAGCAACCTCACCAGAGCACAAACTCTATATATTAGATGTGTGTATGTATCAGTCTGTACAGAGGCAGTTCTGTAAAAACTAAGATCAGGGAAGGGACTTCAGGATTTGACTCTGCTTCCTTTTCCTTTACATGAATAATTGAATTATCAGTGTAACTGCAAACCAAGCCACACTGCAGACAGCTATATTGGCAGTAAATTGTCTGGCTCTTCTGAGATATCTGCAAATTCTATTTTTGTGCCTGATGATGAGCCCTTCTTATACATTAATTGGTGTATATTTTCTAAGCAGAACCTTCCACCTGCTGAAGCAGAGAGAAAAAGCAGAAAGGACAAATACAGTGGGATTTTCAAAGTGATGTGTTTATGTGTGGCTTATTCTGCTACCATTGGAGGACTGACCACAATCACAGGAACATCGACTAATCTGATTTTTGCTGAGCACTTCAATTCGTAAGAAACTATATTATATTATTTTTATTCTTCTTAGTCCAGAAGTTTAACTTGCTTTCTCTAGCTCTCACATGGCCCCCCTAAAACACATTAGAAACCCTGCCCTTTGATTTGATTTATTTGATTCTATTGCTTTTCTTAATTTTTTTTACTGAGATAAAACAAAATTGCATGTTTGTATTTGCCTTATATGGGGAAAGTCTAAAAGTGATCTGGAACTCATGCAACAAGATGACCATTGTTTGGTTAAGTAGCACTTTACTGTTTCAATACCTACATGGAAAAGAAGATTTTTCTTAGAAAAAAAAACAATACTTGGCATGAATAGAACAAGCACTATCTAAAGATCTGTTACTAATTTCTAATTACAGCAGGAAATAAGTTTAATCAGCTTAGCAAAGAGCATCAGGAGACTTTCAAGAGGCTAAGCACTGTGGAAATGAGAAATCTGGGTCCACTAATCAACAAAAAAGCAAATAATTTCAAAGCAGTCTGAAACTGCATTCAATGGAACAATGTTTTACGTTTTCCAAAGCATTTTTCAATATTCATTTTCTTTCTTAAGTAGAACTTCTTTGAAAAGAAAATTGGCAAATTTCATTCCAAACCCCTTGGAATCCAATAGTTCTTGCTGATAATTATTTTTTCTTCTGCCAATTACCATTGCCAGTAATAATAGTCCTACTTGAATTCTGAAATAAAACAAAATAAAGCAAAATCCTTTTTTGTTCTCCATCCACTGGTTTGTATTGCACATGACAAAATTGTTGAAGACCAGTTATTGATAGCATTTGTAGAGTTTGCCTGCAAAGAGTTTACTGTTATTGACACTAAATCACTGTAGAAAGAGGATTGTTAAAATCAATCACACTTGTTCGTTTTCCAGAGGAAATAGGTCTAGAAAATAAATCAGTGTGTCCTGTCCATCCTTGCTTCAGGCAAGACCTGTAGTAGATAATCCAACAATAGTGCATAATCCAATCAGAACAATGTAATAGATTGTTTTTAAAAAACATTTAAACTGATCATCCATTCTGCCTGAGGAATATTTGCTCTGGAGATGAAGAGTACCTAACTTCAATATTCAGATTACTAGAAATACTTACACAAATATTATCTCTATACAAACTTATTGTAGAACCTGACCACAATAAACTAACATTTTGTGATGTAATTTACTCCTTAGTATAAAGTTTTTAAGAGCTTGTTTTGTTGCTCAATAAGAAATTATCACACATAATTCAGGAAAGATCGTAAACACTTTAGCAAGTGATGAAATGTTAGATCAATACTACACTGCTTTCAGTTCTTTCTTATCTTGGAATTTTTACATTCAAAATTTGATGTGGCTAACCATGTAATAAAAAAACAGCCATGTAATTAATAAATAATGTAACAGCACAATGCTTTATATGTTCTGTATTGTTATATTGAGAGTTTCATTGTCCCATCATTACATACAATTGCAACTTAGAGCATCACCCCAGAAAAGGGCCGGGGTGTAGGTTTGGTGCCTGCTAGCACTTTATTTGCAATATATGTAAGCATCATAGTAAATCTAGATCAAACCTAAAATTTGCACAGTACTTCAGAGAGCATTTATAATAAGCACTTAAAGCCTCAAAATGCTATGGAATCATCAAAATTATTTTCCTTCTAGCAAGACCTGAAATACAAAGGATTGGCTGATAATTGGAAATAGTCATTAGGATGTCCTCTGTCTGGACATTTTTATTTCCCTTCCATCTGATTTTTTGCATCAAGAAGGAAAGCTGCTCAAGGAGACTTGAATTTTCTCACTTCTAGCATTAAAAGCTCTTTCAGTAGAGCTGGAAGATCTCAAAGAAAGAGTAACTTCTGTTCATAAAGTAAATTGGAAAACAGGCTGGTTTTACTCTGCCTTTTTTGTCTATCTGGCATCAATTAAATTCAACAGTAAAGCAATTTCTTTGCTTTACTGTTGAGCAGTAAAGCAATTTTCTTTCTTTACAAAGCCCTTCCCCTTTCTTAAATGCACATGGAAAGGAGATCTCTGCTTGAATGACCCACATTTACAAACAGTAGATTGAGACAGCCTCAAAGAGACAAGGTGAGTGGAGACATCATCCACCTGGCCAAAGAACATTTATGGAAATTAGTAATAATAATTTTGACTTTGATCAGTTTTGAATCACTTATGGAAGTCTAAACAATACAAGTTTCAGTGTTGCTTCCACTGTTGTCTTCTATACTCATTGGACCTTTTTCATTTGAGTATATTTTCTTGTGCCAAAGTCTCATCTCAAAAACTCCTTTCTCTCAAGTTCTGTTTATAGTCATAACTGCCCTTAGGCTGTGCATGGCCCTCCCTTGCTTACTGAACTCAATTCAGACACACTTCAGCATGTGTCAGATCCCCAGACCTGCTGCTGATCCATTGCCCAAATAACTGGCACAGCTGGTTCCTGTAGTGGTCATGATGACCAGAGAGAGGACGGGAGGGTGAGGCAAGAGGATACCACAAACCACCTCATGCTGAAGTCTGATGCCAGCCAGAAATATTCTCCCATAGAAGCACTTTCTGGTAATTCTCACAAGTCTTCATTCCTTTGCGAAGGTGAATTAAACTTTTTTTTGCTTTTATGCAGACGCTACCCAGGTTGCCAGTGCATCAATTTTGGATCCTGGTTTATCCTTTCCATCCCTATTGCAGTTATTATTCTGCTGCTCTCCTGGCTCTGGCTACAGTGGCTTTTCCTTGGGTTTGAGTAAGTGAATGGTATAATCAATAAAACTAAAGGTTATTGATATAAAAGATGATTGGTACCAGGAATAGATATTGCTTCTTAGTTTAATAGGCTCAATAGGAAGAAAATGCAGCAGCAGAGATTTTGTGACCTTGACTAATATGACTCAATCTCCAGATGAACAAGAATTTTCTAAAATAAGAATCCTGGACTATTCAGCCCAGTGTGAAAAGTCCATCCCACAAATGGACTCCCTCCTTTATAGTATAGACACATCATCATTAATCAGTGTGTGTGTGCAAGACAAAAGAATACTGAAATCGTATACATTTTTTTTACTGGAAGAGTCATAGGAATACATCCTTCATTGGAGTGAGGCATTGGTTTAAATACTTGAACAATGTCTGTTATAAACTGGATGACTGTATTTGTAAATGTGAGGTAAAATACTCCTGCTTATCCTAAATTTATATGTGGTAGTATGGTAGGGTTTCTGTTTCTCCACACAACTTGGGCTTTTATGGTTTTGGAGAGGATAATACATCTTTTGGGATGATTCTTCAAAGCCTTGTTCTCCATGTGTTCACTAACATCTGGAGAGATAGGTGGGACCCAATATTCCAAAATTACATGGCTACTTGTGGTGCAAGACATGAAAAGTGAGATTAGTTTTAAGCAGACTCCTCCCATGCTTACCACCCTATATGTGAACATTTATTGTTTCATTTCTCGTGATTGTTTTGATGATGTTCTTTTCAATATTGCATAAGAGACTTATCCAAGAATGAAAACCTGGCTTGTAGCAAATACCCTGCTGATCAATATGGAAGCTACTCGTGTGATAAAAACCTTTTCATACAAAAACAAATTAAAGCAAAGCCATAGATTTAAAGAGAGTTATATATATGATTATTTCAATTTGTTCACATGTTTAAAGTTTCATCCTTCCTGGCTAAATGAGCTGGTCAACAACAGAACGCACTTTGTTGCTGCCTCTGTCAGTCTCCCACTGGGCATTGTCAATTAATTCCAGTATGCTCCAATTAATTCCAGTTTGCTGTGTGATAACTAAATGGGAGATACTGCATTGTAAAGTGACAAATTTACATTTGTCAAGTGCTATTGGTAACTGGAAAGGTTGGACATTTTTTCTGTATACACTATTATCTCATCATTCAACATTGCTGCTTTACATTCCAGTTTAAAAAACATGTTTAAGTGTGGCAAGAAGAAAACAGCTAGAGAAGAGGCCTCATCACAGGTGATTCAGGAGGAGTACAAGAAACTTGGACCAATTAGGTATTTCAAACTATAAATCTGCAAACAAGAGCAGGTAAATCTAAATGTCAATTCAGGAATATTTATAATTCATTCTACTTCTGCTATAGCTACCCAGAAACTGTTACACTTGTCCTGTTCATTCTAATGACCCTCCTGTGGTTCACCAGAGATCCTGGCTTCATCCCAGGATGGTCTTCACTTTTCCCAAAGTAAGTGATCTCTTTTGATAAACCAACAAATACTTTACTGTCCCTTAACTACATACCTTCTTTTCTTACCAATTTTCAAAAATTAAAATACTATCAATATTTCAGAAATATCCCAGGCCAAACTTGTTGCAAACTTTTGTAGTCTATAAGGAATATAAACTCCAGAAACTTCACATATATATCTGAGCAATAGCTGAAATATGTAAAACATGTTATAGGATAAAATAAAGTGCCTCCTAAGAGGGATTATTGCTAGATTTTTGGCTTAATATGGTGATGGAGAATGCATAACAATTGATGCCAAAGTACCTCACTTCCTCATCAAATGTGAAATTCAAAGAATAAATCTGGTTAGAATTTTTTGATCTACTGCCCTTAGTAACAGCACACGTAAATGCATGCAGGCCAACATCCCCTGTTTTGACAGCTGAGCTTAATGGTACAAATTACTGTCTGTTCATGCATAGCTCCCTTAAAGTCATAGTTCAACTGAACACCAAAAAGTCAAGAACTATTATAGGGGTTTTTTTGCCTTCTGCTGCAACTTTTCCAGGATCACCGGGATTTCTTTCCCTAAGTAATCAATCAGTCTTACAGGACCTTATATTACTGTGATATTGCCTTTTCTCTTGCTGAAATTACTGTAATTTCAGTTCTGTTTTTCTGTGATAAATTTTCGAGTTTTGCTCTGGAGTAGTGGGAAGTAGTTGCAGGATTGGAACAAGTGGGACTTAATGCTGTTTAGGTCCTTATGGGTTTAACATTTATTACTGGGTAATCCAAAGGCCCCTTCTAGACTAGAAGGGTAATTTTCCATTTTGTTTTCCTGTGCATTTGTGATAAATGACATGTGAACACACATACCTCATGCCTTCTCTCTTTAAGTATATTTCCACCACTTACACACCTTCCCAGTGCTCTTCCAGAAAGTCTGGGAGGGAGTGTCACAAGAAATAATTGTAGCACTTCAAAGATTTAAAGAGTATCACAAAATTATTTTGCACAAAATACCATTAAAAAGTGTATTAAAACTAAGATTGTTTAAAAATTGCTTAGTTTTAATCATCAGGAAAAAATTGAAGAACACTTGTTTTTCCCTTATAACAACAGCAGAGCTGATGATCACTGTCTCATATGAAACCTTATACTCTTGAAAGGGTTTTGGAGTGGTGACCTAATTAAACAATTAGCTAGCTAAGCAATCAGGCTGGGTTGACTTCTCTTCCTGTTTCCTATTAACACCCAGTGCTCCCTCAGCATTGTTTAATGAGGTACATATTAAACTGAAATACAGGCACTGTAAACAACCTTTCAAACATGGGACTTAGGGTTCAAATTACTCTTTTTCATCCAGAGAGCTACATATTCCTATTTGAAGCTGGTTATCATTGTCTGAGGATTTTGTTCATTGGTAGAGAAAACAGAACATTCTCAAAAATGAGTAGGGTTACAGGTTCTGCACAGAGATGTTACTTTGTGGACGCCCTCTAATGTTGCCCTTGGCAGGAACTGCAAGCGTGTGTCATATCACATTAGGCTGAATTATGTTGTAATTTGGGTGAGGCAACCTGAAGAGAAACAAAGCTTTCCTTACACACTTTAAGAGGAAAGAAAGCATTTCTTACTATTCATACCTTGACTATTTCTAGATAGCTTTAATTTATCAATTGATTATATTAGCAGGCATAAAACCAGTAAATTAGGTTAATACTTTCTCAGCAAAAAAAAAAAAAACTTCTTAGTGAAAATAAAGGAGTGGGGCATAGGGTCAGCACTGGTACAGCTGTGAGCAAGGCATATTCTTAGAAATAAAACCCAAACCAAACAAGAGCAGTCACAAAGAAATCTGAGAGGAAAAAACCCTCAGATCTTAGGAACTGCATTGCTGTCACTGTGATGTCCAAGAGGCTTGTAGCAGTGCACTGAACTGCAGATTACATCTCTTACACACCTGTTTCCTAAGGTCTCTGCGTATAAAATTGCTGTGTTTTGGACTTAAGTACAGAGATGGGGATGTGCACAACTTCTTTAAGTTTATGGTACAGGAAACAACTATAAGGAGATATTCCCCACCCTTACAGAAATCTGATAGCACTTGCTATCAGATTTTTATCCCTTTCTATCAGGGTTTTATCCCACAGTATCAAGAAGGCCTAAGGGAAGTTCTGCCACCTGAAAAGAGTTTTAACCTTATGAAAAGCCACAATGTTGCTCCAAGACTAGTGAGTGTGTCCTATTAGGTGGGAATTGCACCACCCTCGTGGTCTTAAACCAGAAAGGGTTGTCCAATCCTTTATTCTAGCATGCTGAAGATCAAAAGAGTTACACTGCTCTCTGTGTTAAACCTAGTAGGAATTTACTTTATCAGAACCTGAATTTCCAGAAAGAAACCAGGCTTGATGCTAGGGTGGCAAAGCCCAGGTTCCTCAGGTTTTGGAATTTGCTGATTTCCTTGATAATCATGTCTATTGTCAAATTGAAAAAGACAAACTAACGTATTGCTTTCTGTCTGAATATGCTATTTTTGTCTTTCTATGTTGGATTAAAAAAACTCTTCTGTGCTTTAAAAGTATATGTATCTTGTGATTCTATCACCTTAAAATCTTTGCTTGATGTAAAAAATTAATTGCTTAATCTTTATTTCAAACAAAATTTCCCATCATTGTCACCACCCGTGTTCATGTTCTCATACCCTTGGGTGCATTGTCACATTCCTGAGTACTCCTTAATATGCAAACACTGATATTTTTGAAATCCCAGCAGAAATACCACTATTTATTTATGCTACCTTCATACTTCTTTAGAGCTACTTTTTGTGCTGTCAGTCAGTTTTTAATCCACATTTCTGCTGTAGCAGTATTGAGTAGAGCCCATTATTTCCAGCTTTTTTAGATGCCTTTCAAAAATACATTACCTCTACCAGTTTATTTTTCTTAAAAAAAAAAAAAAAGGCGTATTTATTAAAGACTAATCCTTCCTTTGCTGTTCTGCCCTGCACCTATTACCTTCTTCTGTAAGCAGACGGCAGGATGTTTTAATAAATATTGTATAACACTACAGAGAGCAGCACAGGGTAAAAATGCCTGTTTCCTCCCTATTTGTTGACAACAAAAGATCACACATCATTTCTGCTACAGCAGTTTCCTTCTATGTGCTGGTCTGATTCCAGGCTGTCAGATATTAGCTTCAATTAGATGAGTTCCAGGTTGGCCTTTGGCCTTTGGGTTTATGAGCCTCATAAGAAAGAGAAAGTTCAACACTGAGCTGCAGCTGATTACAGCTGATGTAGGCAAGGTAGGTTTCCCTCACTCTTCCTCAGATTATTGTCTGGATGAACTGCATTTTTTTTCTTCATTATTTAATCCTTTCTTTACTTCTAATATAAGATCGCTATGTATTTTTGTCCACAGCCATGTTCTCTATAATGATCTCAGCTGGAGTCATTGTGAGATCTCTTGAATCAACAGGGTTTTTTTTGCTTCCTTACAGCACAATCAGATTTGCAATCTTATAAGCAGGTAGATGTTGTATTACAACTCTTACATGTATCTCAAAATTTGATCATGATTGAAAAGCTTCTGTTTGGAATGGCATCATGTGTGTGTCCTCATAATAGTTTGACTGGTGGTAGGATGTTGTGTGTCCCAAGCAGGTTTTTTGAGAATGGTGTTTTTCATCAAGATTACTAAGTCTATGAGCAAGAAGCTGCACTCTCTAATTCAACTAGAGTAAGTGCAAAGTCCTGCACTTGGGGAGGAACAATCCCTGCAGGAAGGGGGCTGCAGGGTCACCTTGACAATGTTTAAAACTACATAGGAGGGAGCAAAGAGGAAAGTCAGGCTCTTCTTAGTGGGTCTCAGTGACAGGATGAGAGACAATGGGCACAAAATGAAACTTACAAGTTGCCTCCTGAACATCAGGAGATGTTTTTTACCTGTGATGGTACCCCAGAGAGGTTTTTGATTTTTCATCCTTGGAGATACTAAAAAACTATCTGAACATAGTCCTGGGCAGCTGGATCAGAGTGACTCTTCTGGAGCAGAAGGGGCTGGCCCAGACAACCTCCTGAGGCCCCTTTCAAACTCAACCATTATGTGAAAATGGAGCTGCCTACAGGAAAGTGACAGCATGGATTGTTTCTGTGTCTAGATCTCACTTTCCTTCAAAACTTCTAGCAAGCCTTAAAAGAATGTAGGATAGGATCCAAGAGGAAGAGATTTTGTATCTCTAGACCTGGTGCATCTGGTCCTAGGCTAAAGATGATATACAGGCAGAACCTCCTGCCTTAAGAAACCAGAAAAATATAGTAACTTTTTTTCAAAATGTATTTTCTATGCAGGCAGAGACTAGGAATGAGGAGACAGAAAATATTAGAGAATCACTTCAGCTTCTATGGCATCTTTAATTTATGACAGTGTTAGATAAAATTATGCTGGTTTTGGTGTAAGTCAAGTATGCATATTGAGGTTTTGTTTGAATTTCACCTAGCATAGCAAAGGATTAGATATTTATAGCATACAACTGAGAGAATTGTTCTTGGCTTTCAGTGAAAAGCTCTGGTTCAGTACAGAACATTAAGCTGCTGGAAAGATCTGATGGGAGGCTATTATTGGACCTACTGTAGCTGAATATTTAGAAAGCATATGCTCTGAGAGAACAAATATATTGGTGTATTGGTTCAAAAAATCTTACAGAAGAACTTGCAGAAAATAGAAAAAAATAACTACATTAAGAAAATGTTTGTTTAGCTTTCTTCAGTAAAATTTCTATTCATTTTAATGACCATCTTGACTGAAATAAGACAGACTGGGATATGTCACCAGCTAACATTGAGTAACAGACTTGGATGTGTCAAAATGGCCTTATAGCTCAGCTTGGCAGCTTGCCTGATCTTGGGGCTACTTTTTGTAAGTTAGAAGGATATTGAAGCAGTTCAAGAAAGAGGTAGTGTAAACAGTTCTTCGGCACTGGAAATTACCAAAACAAACATGACCCTTGTAACTATGAACCTAGTAGTAATAGCCATAGGAGGATGATTATGAAGTTCTGCTGCCTTTCCTCAGCTAGAAAAAGCCTTTTGTGGGTATGCACTGCGCTCCTTAAGGCCTCTTAAACTGAATGTATTGCAGAGCATATTAAAATGATTAAATTTATTGTTAAACTGTAAAAGCTAGTTATTTAAACATCAGCTACTTCTGAATATCCCCCTCCACCAGCTCATTTCTGTGTGGCAAAATAATACATACTTACTCAAGATGTTTATTTATGAATTTATAAAGCCTGCACTAAACATTTCTATAGATGTAAGGAACTGACCTTGATTGTCTGCCAGGCGCCCACCCAGCCACTTTGTCACTGCCTCTCCTCAACAGGACAGGGGAGAAAATAAGGTCAAAAAGCCTGTGGGTCAGGATAAAGACAGAGATAATGATTGCTTATCAGTTACCATTATGGGCAGACTTGCTACATGAGAAATTAATTTAACTGCAAATTAAAAATAGAATTAGACTGTGAGAAAGCAAGACAAAAACTAAAACACTTTCCCCTCATCCTCTTTTTTCCAGGCTCAACCTGACTCCATTCCTTATTCCTCTACCTCTTCCCACCACACCTGGTGGTGCAAGGGATGAGAAAGAGAGGGTTATGGTCAATCCACAGCAGACTTTGGACTTTCCTGCTACTCTGTCCTCTTCCTCTCTCCTCCCCTCCTTCTCCTGACTATATATATTTATGTGGTTTTTTTTCTTGTTGACTTCTCCTTAGGTATAAAAGCTATGTTACGGATTCAACAGCTGCTTTGGTGATAGGGCTCCTGTTCTTTATTATCCCAGCAAAAACATTGCTTAGGACATCGAATGGAGAAAACAGTTGAGTATATTTTGATGTCAATTTTACTACAACAAGGTATCTAAGATGCTACTGTACATATAATTTATTGCACTGCTTAGAGGAATGTTGTTTAATACTAACAAGTATTAACAAGCTGAACTCTTAATAGAGGGTATAAAGCACTGGGGTGTAAAGCATCCCTGGCCTGGAAGTCAGTGCCAATAATTACACAATGTGAGCAGCAGGAGATAGTGCTGTGCAGGAAGCTGCTGCCTGCAGCCCATGGACACCAATGGATGCCACCTTTCCTTTGACTGCAGTGGGCTTTGAAATGGGCTGCATGGAGCAGGGCTAGGCTTATGTTTTGAAAATGTTACTGCTTAATTAGGGTACCCTATAAAATCCAAAATTGTACATTAATTCATTATCATGCAATTTTTCCTCTTCAAAATGGAATTCTTGTTTAAAAAACACCTCTGGCTTATCCTCTTCATGCATTCAATTGTGCTGCTGAAAACAATGGGATCTAGAGGTTCACAGAGAATGGAAGGTTAGAATCTAAATGAGTCTAAGTGAAACAGCATTTGCACAGCAATCTGTCTGAATAGCACCATTTTACTGAGTAAATAAAACTCCTTGATATCCCACAGCTGTCTTCCACGTAGGGAAGGAGGGGAAAGGGGCCAATGCTCCACTGGTGGAAAGTATCACAGCTCTAATGTCTAGAAATCATGACAGTTTTCCCCAGTTAAAGATCTCTCCCAGTAAGTGCAGGATGTTTCTGCCAGGGAAACCTTGAACACGTTACAACCTTGTTCATACTACAATGATGAGGTTTTTTTCTTTGAATTTTTCCCAAGTACTTCCTCAGGGAGATTATTTCAAGAGCTGGTCAATATGTTTTTAAGTGTTTGTGGGGGGGCTAGATATATTTTTTTATTTTATTCTTTTTCTCTAGCTGTTTTTGGTTACATTCCACTGATTACTTGGAAGGAATTTCAGTCATGCATGCCCTGGGAAATAGCTATTCTTGTTGGTGGCGGGTTTGCACTGGCAGACGGCTGCGAGGTAATGCAATTTATAGAAGATACTGAACAAATAATGTGACCCAATCAAGAGAGATTCAGACATGCAGTGAATTCACAGTTATTCTCTTGTTTTAGCAAGTTATTCTGTAGCAATATTGAACAGGATAAATGTGATGAATATTCAAGATGTTCAGAAAGCAGGTTTAGAGAAAAAAAAGTTTCCTATGTCTTCCAAGACTGTGCACAGTGATGACTTATTTAAGTTAGATCTGATGGGGGCAGGAGTCATGAAGACACACTGGTTCCAAAGCCTTAATGTCACTGAGATAATTCCCATGTGGATCGTGTTGGCTCCTTCAGTAAATGAAGCAGGTTTGGACCTAGACTCTGGTTATGAAGCCTAATATACTTATGTTGCCATTTTCTGATTAAGACTCCTCTAACCATCTCAGAAATGCAAATATAGATAAATGGAAAATAGTTTACATGGGCTCCTATAGGGAACCATTGAATTAGAAAAATAGTCTTAAAAATATATGGTAGAAATATGGAAGATATTTCAGATTTTTCACTTTTACATGAATATTTCACTATTAGCAGATAAGTCAATTTTTAAAATTTTCCTTTCATTGACTTGCTAAGAATAATCATGTTCTCATACTCCTTTTGCAGGTTTCAAAACTTTCTGAGTGGGTAGCAAGTAAATTGACCCCTCTGGGATCATTACCCTTGTGGCTGATTATCCTGATATCCTGCCTTATTGTCACTTCAGTAACAGAAGTAGCCAGTAATCCAGCTACCATTACGATCTTTCTGCCCATACTATCTCCTTTGGTGAGTATAACAAGCTTATTTTTAATCAGAATCTACTCTATCATCTATGTAACAATGCAGCTGTTCAAAGAAGCAGTTTTAAAAAGTCTCCAAAAAATACTTCATGCAGGTTTTTTGCTGTCCTGTATTGTGCATTGGTTATTTGGTTGCCATAGGTGTTTCTAACACGAGATGCTGAAAAATTAATACAATTAGAAAAAAGTTCATTTGATTATTTAAATCCAGATCGCAATCAAGCCACAGGCAGCTACTCACTCACGCCCACACAGAGGGGTCCTGGACAGAATTAGAAGGGGAAAAGCTAGAAAACTCATGGGCTCATATGAAGAAAATCTAACAGGGAAAGCAAAAGCCCCAGTTGTTGTGACCCTAGGGCAGGACCTAGCATTTAGTCTTGTTAAAGCTTATCCATCCAGCCTGTCCAGATCCCTCTGCAGAGCCTCCCTACTCTCCAGCAGATCAACACCCTCTCCACTGTGGTGCCGTTCACAACTTTATTGAGGGTACACATGATCCCTTCATCTGGATCATTAATAACGTATTATATACAAATTCAGCTTTATCATCTTTCTTGCTGTTTTTTGCTCTTTGTGCCTGTGTAATGTTCTTAAAAAATTATTTACCATAAAATATTTTCTCATTGTTTAAACTTGCAGCTCCATTCACATTTCACTGGTGTTAATATAGGAAGTTTGTATTTCTGTATTTAATTTGGCAAATGCATCCCTTGACAGCTGTACTCTCATTTTTTGGTAGGCTGAAGCCATTCACGTGAACCCACTTTTCATTTTGATACCTGCTACCTTGTGTACTTCCTTTGCATTCCTGCTTCCTGTAGCAAACCCAGCCAATGCCATTGTGTTTTCATATGGTCATTTAACTGTTATGGACATGGTGAGTTTTAAGCAAAAGTCCTAAAAGAGATTTTTGGCACCTAAAAAGTTTTCTTCATTGTCTTGATGCATGTTTCTTCTTTCTTTTTCCTCTTCTTTAGGTGAAAGCTGGCTTGGGCATTAACATCATTGGAGTTGCTGTAGTTATGCTTGGGATTATGACATGGATAGTGCCTATATTTGATCTCTACACTTACCCAAGTTGGGCACTCAACATTCCATCTACAAATGGCACTGGACTGTAAAAAAATAGTTTCCTTTTTTTTTTCCTCACATGTTGTGAGTCACTTAAAATGCTTACAGTCACCACAATGATAAGGCTCTACATTACTATAAATGCTGTATTTCACAGTCCTAGAGGCTGATGATCCAGTCTGAGAGTCTAATCAGGAAGAGTGCTAGACTTTCTAAAGATCATAGTTAGATCAGGTTTCTAATCTAGTTCAGCTAGTCTGAATTTTTATATCTTCATGTTATGAAGGAAACAATAAATGTGCATAGCCATTATCATGGGCAATTTGCCCCCATTCTCAGGGTAGCAAAATAATGAAATTTAGATTTTATTATTTCAAATACATATCCTTGCTATTAATTATTTGGGGGTTGTCAGATAGCATGTTGGTATTCTGTTTTCTAGATTCAAGCTCTGTTTTAAACAGTGTTGATCACAAACATAAGATCAGGGAGGGGACTGTCTTGAACCCATAGTTTACAGACCAGTCAAAAATGTACAAAAAACGGAGAAGAGCAGCATGACCACTCACACAGCACTTTATCTATTAAGCACCTTGTAACCTGGAAGGAGAGTGCATACATAAGCATGTTTAGCCTACGTCCTCTCAGGACCTTGCTAAAATATGTTGCTGCTCTTGTAAAAGAAAAAAAATATTTTTCTCTGGATAGACATACGTTGATTGATCTGAGTTTATCTGTACAAATGGAGACTAAATTATCATCATACCTCTCTGCTAAAAGTAGATGTATCTCCTTGAGGAGTGAAACCATAAGAGAGTGCTGGAGATTTAACAGTCAATTTGTGAACCAAGTGAATCTTCACCAGGAGAGTCATGATATCTGCAGGACAGGTGGCAGTTTAAGGTTACTAGACTGTGTTAATATTGTATTGTTCTAAACACAAAACAGTGCAATGTGGTCAGCATGTAAGTTGGAGTTCAAAGATATCTACAAATAATGATGTTCTATTTGGTTGTTACACATTTTTCACCATAAAGACTATAGCTTTATTTGTGAAGATCTGTGATAATTTGTAAGGAGCATGTAGTCTGAATGTAGTCTGAATGGAAGCTGCATGTATTTAGATTGGATCATGCCTTGGGACATCCATATGATAGTTGTAAACATCAATCTGTCTTTTAAAGATAGTGTCCATTTTTCCCAACAACAGCAACAACCAAAAAATGCTGTTGGTTTTTGATTAATGGTTTACATTTGGTTTTGATACTGCATATTTAGAGATGTCAGTCATGACTTCTGAAATGCCAGAATGCAGTTTATAATGTTGTATGTGTAGCTTGTTACCTGTAGCTATTAGTTGCAGGTTCAGCTGCAACGAAATATTGAAGAAGCACTTTTTTTAATGAACAATTCTGTGTTAGTATTGAAGTATTAACACCAGGCTTTTAAGCCTGATTGAGGCTGCTATCACAATTTTTTTATACCATGGCAAAATAGGGCTGTGACCATCACTGGGGCAATAGGGAGCTGCCACTACCTAAATAATGTTTATTGATCCCCTGTAGTAATGATTATCATTATAGATATACAACACTTGGCTAAATGAAGTCAGGTACCCAAGGGAAATGCTGATACAAGTAACTAATCCAAGATACAAATCCTGGATTATATCATAGGGTATTTTCCCATAAGCATGTGCCGTGCAGGAGCTCATGGCTTGTTCAGGCCTTTGATCCTGAAGGCATAGAGAGGAAGACCAGTAAAGCGTGCTCTTACTTACTTTATGGTATCACTTTCCAATTTTGTCAGAAATTTCCCAATTATTCAAGAGCAGTGGAAACAGTGAATCAGAGTATTTCAAGGGGAAGAGGTCTCAGAATCATTCAGTCTTGCTCAAAGCAAGGTTATTACTCTGATCAGACCAGGTTGCTCAGGGATTTGTCTAGTCATCTTGAAACTCTCCAACATGAAACCCAACATGCAAAATTTCCCTGACTAATGTTCTCCAGTGCTTTACTGGCCTTGCAGTGAAATATTTTATCTTTAAACAAACGAGCAAACATATTAATTTCAGGTTAACAGACTCATTATTCTCCCTTTTATTTGGGATAGATTCTTTTCTGTTTGTAGCACTAGATTTTTTACTTTCTCATGAACCATGAAAAAGGGAAGACAGTCCTCTTTGTGGCCTTTTGTTCACCACTCCCACTGGATGTGGTATTTTTAATTGCCACAGGTCTGATCTGCAAAGCCTTTCAATCATGTGGTGACAATTGTTTAGCCAAAGGAAATCTGTTAACTACTTCTGAGCTGCCCCTGACTTGTATGAATTTTCCCAAAACAGAATTGGCTATAATTGGTTATAACCTTAGCCTTGAATATGAAAAGGAGGTCTACATGTCCATGAATGCACTTCTAATTAAATCAGGCTTTGACACTGGTATTCTCTCAAGTTGCATACCTACATGGAAGAACAATTTTGCACCAGTCAAGAGAACTCTTGAGCTGTTGACCATAACAAGTGATACAGTTTTCAGTAAAGCTGAAGCTGTTTGTGCCAGTTGATTTTCAGATGTTTATTTTCTTTACTTTCTGGGTTATTCATAAAATGAATATGACAACAAAGACCTGTCTTGTCTGAGCCCTCATGTAATTCAGAACACAGAATTTCCCTAGGTTATTTTTTCAGGGCAGAAATTATTGTTAAGTATCTTAGTAAACAAGCAAAAATAGTAAAATTGTTTAATGAAGGATGCATTTTTTAAAAACTATTTTCACTTAAATTGGTGTATGCAGTGGATAATTCACAAAGAGACAAGGGAAAAGTTTGTAAAGTTGGTCATCTCTTGGACCTCATGTTTTTGTATTTGTTGCAATGAAACACAGAATTATATATAAACTGACTTTCAGCAACCAGCATCTTAATTGTGTCATAACATACTAAATTAGTGACAAAAGTAAATGATTAATCATGATGTTTTTGGAGACTGTATCTTGCAAGTAAGGAGTTTTGAACAATCAGGTTGGTAGTACTGGGAAAGTAGGCTCTCAGCAGGATTATTAACTTGTTTTGTCAGAAGTTTATGGAATGGGTCAGACTCAACATTTGAGATTATTTGTTATTATTACTAACTTATTTTTAAAGCTTTTAGGAATGTTTTAAGTAAAAACTAACAACCCTGCAGTGCAGGGATTAATATTAATATTAATATTATATTCCCCACCTGAGAGCATTGAAATAGAGGAAAAAGAATTTCAGAGTGTGGCAATATGGGTACCCAAGGAGTGGATTTAGCTTGGACTGCAGGCACAGATCATTTTGCTGATCACCAGCAGAAACACACTCTTCATAAGTTGCTGTTATATTCCTTGCTTTGACCAGAATTTGTATAGGACAAATAGTGGGAAGGCACCTATAATTATTTTAAGAGTTGATTAATATATGTTGACATTAACTATATGTAAATTGCTTTGTTCCTAATTTCCATATAAAAGGTGTTTATTTTCTTTGTATCAGATAAGTAATATTTGTAACTTACTATTTATTTGTGATCCCATTCCTGATGAATTAGAAGGAACTTTTGCCATGTACTTCACTGGGGATATGTACCCGGTCTATGATCTCCTTTTCTATGGCTATACTATATTTAGTGTATTTTCACTTTATTTTGGAAGATGTGCATTTACATTAGCAGAAATGATGTGTACACAAATGATGTGTACCCTGGAAATACCTTCTTGACTTTTCTATTTTACAATCAGGCAATCAGATCAATCTTGCAGCATAAATCCCTTTATGTACTTTTAAAATTAATTGACTGTGTTTGTTTACTGCCAGGGTCTAGCTGGTTTAAAATCAACCAGCCTATAGCTCAAGGGCTCACTGAAGAGCAGTGCAGCACAGCAGCTCAGGAGGAGTGTAGCAAAAAGATCTTACAACTCTTTGATTACTTGTGGATAATAAACCACCTTGCATGTGAGTAACAACAACAAAAATACTCTTGCATGTTATGTTCAGCTGCTGGCAGGATTGGAAGGCTTCTAGTGACCCCTTGGGTGTCCAGAAGTCTAGTCCTGCCCTCTCTCCTGCCCTGCCCTTGGCAGCCCACAGCAGGATGCCACTTTCTCTGATGGTGACACCCTGCTGCCCCAGAGCACTTGAGGACATCCCCCAGTGGTCAGACCTGCACATATATCAGATCACTTTGCAGCTATTACTCAGAAATTGTAACTTCACTTATCAGCTTAGTTCTTTGTCTCTGCAAACTTAATTTGATAGTTTATGGTTTTAACTTGAACTGAATTCTTGTCAGTGTTTTTCCCTAATACTTTTGCCTTTTGTGTTTGGAAGTTTATGTATGTTGTTTTATCTGCACAATGTTCAATTTCTGCACAATTTTCCTTTACAATACAAATCTACTATTTTTAAAATAAATATTTTCTGAATGCTGTACAGTCCAACATCTTTATCACTAACAAGAGCTAAAGTTGATCTGCAAAGAAAAGCTATTTGTCAATAAAAGTGCCTGAGATTTCTTAAACATTTTTTAATTGTTGTAGCTCAACTCTTCATATATATGGCAGAGGAGAATACCTGCCAAGAATAATTTAAATGTACTGGATATTTAAAAGTCCACTTTTAAAATAATTTTAAAAAGAGAAGGACCTTTCAGATTTGAAAAGCAGTTGTAATAAAAAAATCTGCTCTCTGCCATGTTCCTTTACAAATACAGAATAAATATATCCCAGTCTCAAACTGTTTTTGGATTAATCAGAAATTAGAAGGTCAGAAAGAAAGGCATGCACCTATGAAAAATAGCTCTTTAGCACCTGGTTTCTGGTTCAGAAATAACCATTTTAGGTCAGGATACTGGAGAAGACCCACAAGGATAGCTGGAAGAGTCACTTCAAGCATTTAGTTTGGTCATCTTTCAGTGGACTGCCTCAGATTCTGCTATCTTCAGTTGTGGCAAATGTGGAAACTTAGGTGAAAATTTTAGATTGCTGACCTAAGTTTGCAAAATATCTGTACAAGATGTAGGATCAAAAGTACCACAAAAAGTCTATAGAACCAGCAAGCTAATACACCCAAAACTATCCAAAATAAAATTCTACTTAAAAGCATGATACTGAAACTCTTGTCCTCAGGCATCAATCCAAGAATGATGCAGAATATTTTTGTGCATCTTGCTTCCCTCCCATAGAGATTTCCATTTTCATCCTCCAATATCTTCTAACACAGGAAGCATGAAGACTTTTTGTGACCCTTCCTCAAATGCTGACTAATTTGAACCCACATTTTTCACATCTCAAGAGAGACCACTGTTACCAGGATCACCCTTCTTCTGACAGACATTAGAGCCAGCAGAGAAAAATTCCTGAGCCCCAAAACTAGAGCTTTAAGTAAATAGCCTGGGCAATGAGCTATGAGGGGAAGCTCTGGGTCTGGCAGCAGGGACCACAGTCTGTCTCACGCTGGTACCCCCTCCAAGGCACAGGGAGACACTTGCACCCAGGGAAACTGAGGATAAGAATACTTTTCTGTATCTGGATTCTGGTCTCATACCCCATAGAGAGATACAGGCACAGAGACGTTCATAGATGTCTAAATTAGGAACCAATTTGAAAAATCTAAGAGAGTAGTTTAGTATTTCCAGGACTAAGCAAGCAGGCAGATTCACAGATTTTTTTTCTTTAGGTAAGTAATCATGCAAAAAAAAAAAAAGTTTCAAAGCCTATCCTAAAATAAAGACAGCTAGTTTTCCAGGCCAGGTGTTTACTTTAAAAATGAGAGTATTTTTTATTATAAGTGGGATCTAAAACAATATAATTCAACAGGCTAAGAGACAAGAGCTCTTAGCTCTTGTAGTTCACAGAGCATCACTGAGATAAGGTTTTCTTCATCCTGAACATTTTAATTTATGCCATATGATGTCCATCTCCAACTGTGCTTATCATGAGCACAGATAGCAAAACAAGCATAGGTACTAAAGCTAAAAGACATTAGCATCCTAGGATAAGTGAGTCCAGAATAACTAAGCCAGAAACATTTGATAGTTTTTGCTTCTTGTCTCAGCAAGTAAACAATGTTTAAATCTCTTGTATTTTGTAGCACTTTCTTGAATACATAACAAATGGAAAAACATTTCCTGCTCCCTTAGATGATTCCTCTGAACAATTTCCCCCTTGAGTTATCTTGAAAAGCTCTGTCTCTTATTGCAAAGAAATAAACGGAAGAAATAAAGAAAATAAAATAAATGAGAAGTGCAAGGGAGCAAAGAGGAAGAGGAAGGAAGAGGAAGAGAGAGGGTGAGAGAGAAAAACTAACCTACAATCTGCAGTTCTGAGTCTCACCTTTCAAAACTGGTAATGATCCGTGTACAAGATTGACAACTTCTCCTGACATTCTTCATGGATTTGAAAAGTTCAGTTTGCATAATATAGAAAACCATGTGGTGGCTAGTTCTTTCTTTAGATGTTATTATAATGCATCAGAGGAGAAGGAAATGGATGGCATAGATAGTACTATAATTTTTCCTGTTCTCACTGTGAAAGCAGATGGAGTTTTAAACCCATTAAGAGCAATCCTTCAATTTCAATAAGCCTTTAACCCTTTTCTAGTTACACTGCATATTTTCAGTGTAGCAACTATTGAATACATGGCTTAGGCAGTATCTCATGGGTGACATTTTTTAACTCTACTTTTGAAATTCTTAGATGTGGAATTCTCTTTATGTGATAGTGAAATATGACTAAAGCCTTATAACTAAAGCTGAACTTCCAGTGCCCTCTTGCAGACACTTACGTCCTTACTCTCAAGTTGTATTGCACTTACAGTATGATTTTACAGACCACGAAGAGAAAATAGGTTGTGTTATACATAATGTTGACAAGGTCAATGAAGGTTATTATATGAAGCTGCCCAGAGCTTAGGAGTTTTCTGCTTCAAAACTGGTTATTTTTGAAGTTGTGATTGGACTAAATCACAGAAAATCTAAATCTCCTCCTAGCTAATCCAAGATGGAAACTTCTATCTGCTCTTATTCCCCTTCAAAGGTGAAAAACTATAGTAGTAGACAGCTGAACTTGGTCCAGCCAAACAGGTTTTGTTTCTATAATGCTTCCTCAAACTTTGTCACAACCAAAGGCAGATAAATGTTAGTTGGACCCTAATCCAAGCTCTTCCCATGGATTTTACCTTGCACTGTCACCTGGGAGCACAGCTCCTGGGATGTGTGTCAAGGTTGTCTTCTGACAGTAGAGACCCACACAAGAAGCTTACAGTCCAAGGAGGCATCCTCAACTTGGTTCAGTTTCTACAACAACCTGTAGAACGCATATCCCCTCAGCACATCTCGGGTCTTCTTCCTGTCCACATCTGGGAAGCATGAAGTTATCTCTGATTTGAAGCCATTGAGCTGTTTTCCTGAAAAGTAAGTTGTGTTAGCAGAAAAGCAAAAACATACTAAAAGAAAATAATAGTACTAATTACTGCTAGCTGCTGTATTGTATAGGGCCTTAGCAAAATCGTGAGTGTTCTTTTAGGCTAACAAAGCAAATGAAAATAAAAAACATTTTCAGAGACTGGTGACAGACAACATTAATGAAAGGTTTGAGGTATGTAGCAGTGGATCAGAGCTATAGAAAATCCCACTCACCTTACTTTTAAGAATAGCTGTAAGCCCTTGCAGTGTGAATACCAAAGGCTGTGAGCCACATCCTGCTGAAATCCATTTGTAAATAAAATTCATACATAAATAAAATCGCATCACTTGATTATGGTTGCAAATTAAATAGAATTGTTTCCCAAGATATGTGCTCCCCTAGGATAAAATAATGACTTTCAGCAGGACCAAGCAATAAATTGCTAGCATTATATTGGCTTCTATCTTAATTGTGAAAGTAACTAAATATCAGTTGGAATGTGGAACTGGTTTGGGCATTTTTCCATATTTTCCTGTGTCTACTAACACCTCAAAGCATAGCAATAGCAAAATGTTTCTGTAGGTACTTATTACTACAATAAATAGTCTTTGCAAGTTTGATTATAGCCAAGATACTTGTATTGTTAATACAAGTAAGGAACTTGTATTAACAATACTTGTAAATGCAAAAAGCATGACAGAATAATTAAACATTTTTAATTTGGTTAACATATTAGTATTTCCAGGTAATTATGTTGCTATTAACTTCAGGAGGTACTGCTCCAGCTGGAGAAAAAACCTCAAAAAAGCTAGTGAGAAAAGAGAACTCCATTCAGATGAATGCCAAGTTCATCTACTTGAGTTTCAAGAAAGAAACTCTGGTAGCACAGGAAGTTTTATAATATGGATTCCAATCCGTGATATATAATTTAAATTTTTCTCACATAAATTAGCCATGTGTCAGCTGGAACCAGAGAACATGGTGACCGATTGATCAATGGTCCCTGTAATGGTTTTTTTGTGTCTCTGTTTAACACTTTAGCTGCCATTCTGTCACTTACTCAGACTTCAGCTCTCTAGACTGAGACAACTAAGATGTTTCTGTAAGTTCCTGAGCATGATGCCGTGGCCAGTCACGGGTAGATCAGCACAGAGACAAACTATACTTTACCCAGTAGATGAGTCTGACAAGTGTTACTGCTCATGTCATTATCTGTATATAGAAGCAGCATTTCCTTTGTGAAGTTCATTATCTTGAGTTCCCAGATATCCAGAAACATTGACAAAATTAGATTTGGGAAAAGTCATGTATGTTTTAAGCAAAGTGTAAATATTAATCAGACAGAGGAAAGTTTTCAGTGGCATATCTGCCTAGTGAGTTATTCATCATTAGACAGTTTTCAATTTCTAAATCACTTGATTTTTTTTTTTTTAAATTTTTGTTAATTTGTGCTTTTCTGGACAGTTTACGGTACATTCACATCCCTTCTGAACCCAGGTGCCACAGAGGTGGGGACCTCTTAGGTTTCAATCATATAGGCAGGCATTCCTGATAAATCTAGATAAAGACCCATCAGTTCTAAGTTTGGTAATCCACCCTTCTTTTCTACATCCAAAAATGCAGTTTATGTCATTTTTTAATCCCTTTTGGCGCAGCTTCTTTCTCTGCTTATGAACCACTACAGACCCTGGATTTTTCCAATCCTCCTTCTGTCCAGGTAAGAAGTTCTTAACTTCATTAAGTTAATTTCATTGGAATCCTTCATGAGGAACCCTCATGAAATCTTTATTCAAGTTCACCAAGGCCAAGAGCAAGGTGCTGCACCTGGATTGGAGCAAATCCCAGTACCAATACAAACTGGGGGATGAATGGATTTAGAGCAACCTTTCTGACAAAGGGCAATGATTTCACCTGAAGGAGGGGAGACTTACACTGGATATTAGGAAGACAGTCTTTCTAAAGAGAGTGGTGAGGCACTGCAACTGGTTGCCCCAAGAAGCTGTGGATGTCTCATCCCTGGAAATGTTCAAGGCCATGTTGGTTGGGGCTTTGATTGTATTTCAGAATATTTACTCAATTTAGCAATACAGTTTTGAATTCCAAATCTGTCTCCAAA